TCTGATGCTCATGTAACCTCTATAATGGATCTCTACAGTTTTTTTTTCTTCAAATGATAGCCCTAAGGTCAAAATTTGCCCTGTCCCGAGAACATTGATTCTCTTTTTATGTAAATGGTAAAAACTTTAAAAAGAAATCTCTTAATCTACGGAAGCGAAGCTTAGTTTCCATAGCATCCAGTGACTTCATAGCAGCCATTTACTTTATAGAACTGTAAAATTTCATGGCAACCAGTTACTTCCATAGCAAACATTATCTATCTACCATTGAATTTCATAGCAAGCACATCCAATGAAATACAGCAAATTGTGCTTCTGGGTGAAAAGAGGCTCCACTGTGACCTTTTGACATATTTCTCTTGTGAGCGATCCATTGCCCTCTTGTTTTTCATCTCACCTTTTTTTCCCGCAACACAAAGTAACAGCTTTGAAACAGAATTACATGCTTTTAGTACCACCAATGTGTTCACCTTATGAGAATCAGAGTACACCAAAAAGTACACATACTTATATTATCACAAAAAAGTGACTTAATCTTGCCAAGGAATGATGTGCCAACAATCTTGAGTTTCAAAGTAATACATATATGACCCGCGCCATGACAAAACCAACATAATGGGTTTGCAACCAGCATGGATCCAGACCAGCCTGCGCATCCGCGCAGTCTGATCAGGATCCATGCTGTTCGCTATCAGTTTCTCTTCTTGTTATAGGGTTTGTAAGCGAACAGCATAGGTCCTGATCAGACTGCGCGGATGCGCAGACTGGTCTGGGTCCATGCTGGTCGCAAACCCATTATGTTGGTTTTGTCATGGCGTGGCTCATATATGTATTACTTTGAAACTCAAGATTGTTGGCACATCATTCCTTGGCAAGATTAAGTCACTTTTTTGTGATAATATAAGTATGTGTACTTTTTGGTCATTTTTCTACATGGAAGTTTTGAAATACATTAGCATTAAGCATAATTGAGCAAAATCTTCTGTAGAAGGTAAGGGGTTTGTTCCTTTTCATGTAATTAACTGCTTTAAATAGTTTCACACAAAGGCATCATGCTTAATTTCATGTACAAACAGACCAGTCTCTTCCATTTTGGTATTCATCTGGTAAATGGGTTTTTAATCATATCATATTTTAATGTTTTTTCTTTTTTTTTCTTTTAGCTTTCAAGGCAGAAAAAGCAGATAAGAAATTCTTAAAATTTCCTGATACTCTAAGGGACAAAACTCAAATATGAAACTGATTATGGCATCGAGAGTTAGTTCCCTTCCACAAGACGGAAAACTGATAATAATATTTTTTGGTTTAATTTTGAAAAAGTGTTAGCTAGGAAATCTTATTTTATTTACCCAAAAAATGAATCAATGCCTTAAAACTCAAGTAAAGAAGTGCTTAATTTATTAATTGATTGAGCAATCAAGTTGACCTATTAGCACATTAAGGTAATTTTAAAGTTCATTCAGTGCCATAAAGCTCATGCATCACCCACAAGAGTCGTGGTTTCTACTTGTAAAGAGGGAAACACAACACGATCCTTCCATGGGTTCCGTTTTATGTGGCACCAACACAGTACAGGTCATATGGCAACTTTCCTGCTGAACTAATAGAGGAAGACCGTAGGTGCCCTTCACTTATTTCTGGCACGAACAGGCTTCAAGAGTAGCAGCAACAACTTTCTGTAAACAAGAGGGCAATAATGGCTCTGAAATCGCTCACCTGTATATAGGCCCCTGGGCTTAGGCCAATTTTAAACCAGGGACATTTATTTGAACAAACTTGGTAGACACCCATTAGAAGATGTTTCATGATTAATATCAAAGCTCTAGCTCTTTGGCGTTTTAATAACAAGATTTCTTAAGTTTTAACTAAACTATATACATGACCCCCCCCCCCCCCCCCCCCCCCGAGGGGCCAATTTTGACTCCGGGGCTTTCATTTGAACAAACTTGGTAGACAGTCACAGTCACTAGAAGATATTTAATGCTTAGTATCTACTCTAGCTCTTTTAATAAGATTTCACTATACACATATAAGGAAAATCAATTTTAACCCAAGGTCCCTTACTTGAACAAACTTGGTAGACACCCATTAGAAGATGTTTCATGCTAAATATCTTAGCTCTAGTTCTTTGAGGTTTTTAAAAGCAGATTTTTTAAGTTTTTACTATATACAAATAAGGAAAATCAATGACCCCCTAAGGCAAGGCCAATTTTGACCCCAGGGTATTTATTTGAACAAACTTGGTAGACACTGACTAGATGATGTTTCATGCCAAATATCTAAGCTCTAGCTCTTTCCGTTTTCTAAAAGAAGATAAAAGTTTTTTTTTGGTTGCCATGGCAACCAGAGTTCTGCTTGGAATTAAATTCTTTGAACAATAATTAAAGTTAACTACCAAAGGAACATTCCTGTGAAGCTTGGATGAAATTGTCTTGGCTGTTTATGAGGAGATGTTGTTTAAAGTAAAATTTTACAGATGAAAAGCGATCACAAAAGCTCACCATGCCACTTTGTGACAGGTGAGCTAAAAAGAACCTAAAGTCCCAGTTGGGTTTCGAACCCACAGCAGTGAGAAGTCAACGGCCTTAACCCCAAGGCCACAGATGCCCTTATCAAGGTAGATTTCAACAAATCAAAATCTCTCAAAACACACAAGCAGTTCTATTAAATTTTATCTTTATTGAAAGTGTACCAAACTCGTATTTTCCTCATTTTACATATGTAAATAGGAAAGTGATTAAGAACCCGTTATATTTTGTAAATAATCAAATATAATTAACAATAGCCACCCAGAAATTGTTTCTGTGAAATAACTAACAAGAAAATTGCTAATTCTTTCTGGTTGCTATTAAAGAACAGTACCCAAAGGAATATTCCTATGAATGATAAAGTGACGGCAAGGATCGGAAATTCCACTCGTATTTACAAGTAGATTGTGCAGCAGTGAGAAGTCACCGATCCACTCGTATTTACAAGTAGATTGTGCAGCAGTGAGAAGTCAATGGCCTTAACCCCCCCCAAGGCCACAGATGCCCCTATCAAGGTAGATTTTAACAAATCAAAATCTCTCAAATCACCCTCCTATGGAGGAGCAAAAATTCAGACTGCTTAGTGCTAGAATTGTCAGAAACAGTTTGTTTACATTGAACGATGGAAAACCAGATAATAAAGCTTCTGTTTCAGGTTATGTATAAATCACATACTTCATTTAGTGCATGGTTACATGGATAAGAGTGTGACTGGAATGTGCCTGCCAATGCACTAAAGATTATAGTGTATGATTTATAAGTAACCCGACACACCATTTCAATTTTGGTTTGTTAAATGTAAATAAACTGATTTATACAAGTATCAGTCTATTACATCAGCGAAAAATATCTTGAAAATCATGCTTAAAATTCAGGACAAAAAAAACTTTCTATCTCTGGACAGCAGTATGAGATGTTGTGGACCAACTACAGGCATTAACTAACAAGGATCACTATGCACATGAAAATGAACTAGAAATGTGTCCATAGGACACGTGTGCCCCCACTGCGCCACTGTTCTGTCAATCTCATGACTCTAGGTCAAATATTTTTTGAAAACTAAAAATCTTTTACTAAGTAAAGGGCAAGAACTTTACAAATACTGAATAAATCCACAAACAAACCCAAAGGTGCATAAGTAAACATGCTGACCAACATTCTTGTAAACTTTCAGGCCTACAAGTGAAATACTTTTTGACATGCGACACAAGTTGAAAATTGCAAAATTTTACTAAGTCAAGGGCAATAACTCTAAAAATACTAAGTAAATCCACATGAAAATACCCAGGTGAACAAGTACAAATGCTGATCAACATTCCTGTAAAGTTTCATGACTCTAGGTCAAATACTTTTTAAGTTACATGCGACTCAAGTTGAAAATTGCAAAATTTTACTAAGTCAAGGGCAATAACTATATAAATACTAAACTAGAAATGTGTCCATAGGACACGGATGCCCCCACACGCCACTGTTCTGTCAATCTTATGACTCTAGGTAAAATATTTTTTGGACTACATGTGCCACAAGTTGAAAACTAAAAATCAACAAAGGGCCATAATTCTGTTAAATTTGGTCACAGCAAAAATTCCTTCCTTTACTACCATCTACACATTAAGGTTGTTAATCCCTGGAAGTTTAAGCCAAATCTGCCATCCAGTTTAAGAAGAGTTGCGTTCACAAAATTTCTACAAAGTATATAATGAAAAAATCAACAAAGGGCCATAATTCTGTTAAATTTGGTCGCAGCAAAAATTCCTTCCTTTACTACCATCTACACTTAAAGGTTGTTCATCCCTGTAAGTTTAAGCAAAATCTGCCATCTGGTTTAAGAGGAGTTGCGGTCACAAAATTTCTACATAGTATATAGTGAAAAAATCAACAAAGGGCCATAATTCTGTTAAATTTAGTCGCAGCAAAAATTCCTTCCTTTACTACCATCTACACATTAAGGTTGTTCATCCCTGTAAGTTTAAGCAAAATCTGCCATCCGGTTTAAGAGCAGTTGCGTTCACAAAATTTCTACATAGTATATAGTGAAAAAATCAACAAAGGGCCATAATTCTGTTAAATTTAGTCGCAGCGAAAATTCCTTCCTTTACTACCATCTACACATTAAGGTTGTTCATCCCTGTAAGTTTAAGCAAAATCTGCCATCCGGTTTAAGAGGAGTTGCGTTCACAAGATTTCGGGACGTACGGACAGACTGACTGACGGACGGACAAGTGCAACGCTATATGCTCCCACATTGTGGGGGCATAAAAATATCCAGACGAAAATACCCAGGTGCACAACTACATATGCTGATCAACATTCCTGTAAAGTTTCAGGACTCTAGGTCAAATACTTTTTGAGTTATGTGCGACACAAAAAAGAATGGACGGACGGACAAGGGTAAATCTAAATGCCCGCCACTAAAGTGGGGGCACAAAAATATGTGTTGCTTTAAAACCTATAAATTAGCAGCAAAAACAATTTTGTTTGTCCTTTTTTTTATTTTCACACTGTACAGATATTTCACAGATTATTTCCCCTTCTTGGTTCTCATTTTTCTGATGTAGAATTCGAGCTCTTTGCCTTCAAGGATATAACCGTCACATCGCCCAGTGCAGCCTGGTCTTGATGCAATCTTAGCTGAAATACACAAAACAAAACAAAATTTATACAAGATTTTCATTTTTTTTTTTTTTTTCATTTACATTTTTACCATTACTGAATTAGGAGAATCGTGAGGCAGGTTTTTCCCATTGTTTTCTAGCACTCTTAAGTAAGCCATTTTGTGACATTTTCTGTAACTAATAAAGGAAAAACCTCGGGTGCTCCTCCACTTCATTATTACGACAAGGACACTACATCAACCTTTTTTAACCCTCCCTGGTCACATTCCTGGCTTTTCACATGAATCTTAACAAAATTCATTTATTCCAAAAGCTTGAGGGCCAAGTAATTCAAGTCAGCAATGTTTATCATTGTCACAACAACTTCCAAGTTCAGCTTTATTCAGAGTACAAGGAAGTACATGTTTATGCAATCAGATACATGTATTGTGTCATCAGGTTTTTTTTAATCTGAATTACGTCCCAAATATCATCACTTTGCATCTTACAGTGCAATTTTCCTCCCAACAACAAACTTATATTTTCAAACCAAATTACAGCTCAAAGTTCATATTAATATCATTGTATATTTCCATAAGGAGATCTAGTCAGAAACATTTATTATCATAAAAATAGAATGCACATATAAAAGCCTTAAAGTCAGCAAATCCATCATTACACCAAGGACAATGAAAATATAGGTCTGAAAAAGTTCTTGTGAATCATACTATGGAACATTTTTTGTTTTCATTTCATTTTATCACTTACTATGCTTGTGTCATTTGGGATCTTTCCCCTGGGACTAGAAGTTTTACAATATAAAGAGTTTAGCATTATTATAGACTTGCTCAGTTAACGGTAACAATGTTTTTTACATGGTGTGATTAAAAGGTGTCCTAAGTTGTTTGTCATCATTGCAAGTCCTTTATTGTTAAAACATTTTCAATTTGAACAGACTTCCCGAAATACGTCGGTCCGACGGACATGTCCGATAAATTTTGATCAGGTCCGACAATTTTTTATTCCGGATTGGTCCGACTGTCCGGCTTTTATCCAAGCCGCATGTATACAAAATGGCGTCGCTAAAGGTGCAAAACCTGGGGAAAACGAAAATCTACGCCAGAAGAGTGCGCAGAACAGCAATAAAAGGATGAAAAGAATAGACCTGAGACAAAATTTAATGAAAAATGGAAGCAGAACCATGAATCATTGGTGTATGACAGGGAGGAGATGAAAATGCGCTGTACGGATTGTGCCGATTTTTACGGCGAAAAAATAAAAAACAATAGAAATACAAACACAAGTTTTTCTTTGATTTTGATCAATTTTATTTGGTCCGACAGACCGAATGTCTGACAGTTTTTTTCAACTTTCGGGAAGTCTGTTTGAATACAAGTACCGACTACAAATAACCCATGCTCAAGTTTTATATATCTTATAGCCTTTTCAAATGTCTAACTATAGTTAACACAAGAATTCTTGTTGCGATAAAACGCTTTGGAAAAAAAGATCCCAGAAGGATAACACAACAAGTCTTTGTACTTTCCCAACTCTCATACACAATAAAATGACGGAACTAAGTCAATTACCACATTTCTCAAATTCTGCTGACATTATCAAATATCCTAGATCTTTTCAAACTTGCTCAGTAACTATGTTATTTACATGGTGTGTTAAAAAGGTCTCCTAAGTTGTTTGTCATCATTGCAAGTTTTTTTTATATTCCTTTTTTCCAACATATATGCAATACAACCTATTCAGAACAACACAACAACCATTGGTAGACAAAGATTTTTTTGTTGTTCCTGAGGTGTTGCTCATAAGGCCGAATTGATTTTCAAATTTTGGAAAGAATTGACATTGTCCTGCAGAGGCAATTTCTCTACAGAGGGCTTTTCTGCAGGGTTTGCAAATGTATTAATTAAAGAGTCAAGATTTTGCAGTATAGTCAGCAATTATAGAATTTCTAGACCAGGGGATAAGAAACAATCAGATACTATAATATTGTCATCAGGATTATATCTGAATTACGTCCCAAGTATCATCATTTTGTGTCTCAAAATGCCAAATATTGACACTGGCCGTCAAATTTTTTAACCCAACAGATATAAGGCATCCTAAGTATAACAGTTAACAACAATTTATGAGACATGTCGATCAATCAGATACTATATACTGTCATCAGGGTTATATCTGAATTACGTCCCAAGTATCATCATTTGGTGTCTCAATCACGAGTCAGTGCCAAATATTGACACCATCATCCAACAAATATAAAGCCTAATTAACTTAAAACATCAATTTATGAGAAGTGTGGATCAATCAGATACTATATATTTTCATCAGGGTTTTATCTGAATTACGTCCCAAGTATCATCATTTTGAAATGCATATAAACCTTTAATTCTATAAAATAACAATGGACACAACACAAGAAAGGATAGTCAAAACCACAAGCACATCTCTACAAAGGTCTTAAGTTACTGGACTATCATTTACACATAAAATTTATATCCAAATTACAAATGAGCAAATAATATTTTCTTTTTTTGTTTGTCTGATCAAGTATCTGAGATTGATGTTTTACAATATTTTTACAAAAGCCTGTAAATTAAAATAATATAATAGCAATGACCACACTTTTTGGGGAATATAAATTCCAAATAAGTTAGGTAACAGTATCAGGTCTTGGAAGCCTCATCAGATGTGCTAGCTGGCCCGTGTCTATACTGGTGACAAAGCTATCTGTTTTCTAAATTTAGAATGCAAGCAGTCAGAGTAACTATGACAACATAAGACAAAATCTTTAGATGGATATGGTACAGTCAAAACGACTCAAGAACCATCTTCTTAAAGTCTAAAGCTATCATCATCCTGCTTACAATAACTCAATAAAATACTTTTGTTAAAACCCACAAATTTCTTATCCCCTTAAAAAGCATCATATTGTTTTCCAACTAAACATCATGCAGCTATTCCAATTTGATTTCATTTTCTCCCTATTTTCCCATTTACTGGTTTAGTAGCTACACTATGAAGTACATGAAAACAATTTCAAACAACAGCACCTTGTGTGGGGTTAATGCTTGTCTGTTAGAATAACCATTTTTGACAAAAATTCAAAGTTAAAAGGGGCATAACTCTACAAATATAGCTTTCATAATTACGCCCCTTGTCTAACAAATGCACCTGGTCGTGATAAGCTAGCATTCAAAGTCTCATATTGATACCTTAAATACTGTACGAGTAAACTTCCTGAGAACATAGACTTGGTATAAATTACTTTAAGTCAGCAAAAACAGATTATGTTCCATTAGTATGATTCTCGACCTGGTTTTTCCTTAAACCTTTTTGGACCTGTATTTTCATTGTCCAGACTGATTGTTTCATTTGGGATCTTGAGTCCTACAGGATAAGAAGTGACTGAAATTAAATACAAAATGGATAAGACTTCAGCTTTCTTACAGACTTGCTCAGTTAACGGTAACTATGTTGTTTACATGGTGTGATTAAAAGGTGTCCTAAGTTGTTTGTCATCATTGCAAGTCCTTCATTGTTGCTGAATATCAGTACTGACTACAAATAACCCATGATCAAGTCTTGTATATCTTATATTCTTTTCAAATGTCTTACTATAGTTGTCACAAGAATTCTTGGTAAAAATCTCAAAAGAAGAGTACTTTTTTCAACTCTCCTACACAAAAAATGCTGGAAGTAAGTCCATAACCACATTCCTAGATCTTTTAAAACTTGCTCAGTTAACTATGTTGTTTACATGGTGTGTTAAAAAGGTCTCCTAAGTTGTTTGTCATCATTGCAAGTTTTTTTTATATTCCTTTTTTCCAACATATATGCAACACAACCTATTTAGAACAACGCAACAACCTTTGGTAGACAAAGTTTTTTAATTCATAATTACGCCCCTTGTCTAACAACTGCACCTGGTCATGATAAGCTAGCATTCAAAGTTTCATATTGATACCTTAAATACTGTATAAGTAAACTTTATGAGAACAGACTTGGTATAAGCTACCCCTTAATTGCAAATTTTACTTATTGGGAAACACAGCAGTGTTTCCAGTCAAGGTTGATATATTCACTAATTTATGTTCTTGATGGTTTAAAATTTCAATTGTGTTACTTTTTTATCAGCCACATTAACCAACTTCAGAGCCTCGGCAAATATCTTTGGCAATATTGACATTATATATTGACAAGAAAACGGGTAATAATCAAGTTTGTAATAAAATTCAGTCAAGCATGACAATCAGTGTAACTATGACAATGTAAACATCAAGATATATATATATACATGTAGAACATGCTATATCTCTACACTCATATATTGTCATCATACTGCCATGAATTACTACATGTATTACACTCAATATGTATTGAATTTTTACAATGGGTCATGCTATGTTTCTTGTTAATACATCTAGTAGTTTCAGAGCTATGTCCCGTACAAGATGCATACAAACATACAGACGACAAAGCCGTGAAGATATGCACTTCCTTCAAGAGGCATCATGCTCATAGTTAAAAACAGAATATGAAGTTGGAAACTTGCTCAGTGAACATTTACTATGTTGTTTACATGGTGTGATTCCAAAGTCCTAAGCCCTTTTTATCATCATTGCAAGTTGATTAAGTAATCTTCAAATTAAAACAAATATATCAAGTTTGCTCAGGTTTGGTAACGCTAATAGTTTTTACATGGTTCTTTAAAAGGTGTCCTAAGAATTTTCATCATTGCAAACCATTTCAATAACACGCAATTAAACTCAGAAAAAAGAGACTTGGAGAAGATAGCTGCAACAAGTGGCTGTGCATTCTTTGAAATTGCAAGATAATGTAATTTTGTTTCTGCATAAAAATTTAACTACATCTAGATAATGGTCAATGGAATACTGGAGTGGCAAAATTTACTGCAACTTAGCTCGATTTTTTTCCCCAATGTGGACTTGCTCAGTTAACGGTAACAATGTTATTTACATGGTGTGATTAAAAGGTGTCCTAAGTTGTTTGTCATCATTGCAAGTCGACAAACATTTTTTTCCCCCTTTTTGAAATTGCTTCTAAAAAAATTCAGCTCAAGACAAGACTTAAAGCAGTTTACATACAATGCACATTTAAATGGAATACATACAATGCAAATTTAAATTGAATACATACAATGCACATTTAAATGGAATCTTCATGTCCCAAGTAGTCTGGTCATTTTTATACTACATATTGTAACAGCAAATTGTATCACCTTCCAACACCTTTAATTACAGAAGCCAGCATTGTTAGCAACTAGAAACGATAAATTAACACTACAACAAAGGTCTTCAAAAATGGAAAACTCGCAAATAATTCAAAGCTTGACCAAAAATAACTCAAAAGTGGAAAACTCAAAAGCACGACCAATTACAACTAAAACAAAGGTGGTCCAAAATGGGAAACTACGAAAAGCTTGACCAACAACAATATTTACTCCTGATTCGATTATTTCCAAAAACACCTACTTCCATTATGGCAAGATGTTAAAATACTCATTTTTTTACAGCCTATTTGGTTAAAGAACAAAAGAAATAGTTGAAATACAGAATATATGGTTGAAAACTTGCTCAGTTAACGGTAACTATGTTATTTACATGGTGTGATTAAAAGGTGTCCTAAGTTGTTTGTCATCATTGCAAGTTTGGTTATCCAACCTTTAAAATTTATAAATTAATAGAAAACAAATACAGTATCTCTGATCAAGTTTGTTCAGGTTTGGTAACGCTATAGTTTTTACATGGTTCATTAAAAGGTGTCCTAAGAATTTTCATCATTGCAAACCATTTAAATGACACTGACACAATCGGTCACATGCCAACCCCAAGTAGAACCACTAATGTTCTGTAAGCCAGCCAGATAGGTCTCCTCACATGGCTGGATTCAAACTGACAGCAGTAAGGGTTAAATGTTTGAATTTAACCACTAGGTAACAGGCACCCCAAGATCTCTTCGATTTTAATTTCTTTAATATTTTTTTAACCATCTAAACACCTTAAAAGAACAAAGGACAGCTCGAAATAAATAAATCATACAATTGTGTTATTTCAGCAGGTCAAGGTTAAGATTTTTTTCAACAACATCAGAGCTACACTGAAACTATCATCAGAATCAAGGAATGCACATATCACCTCATCATATGTTGTACCTAGAACAAAATTACATCCACCGAAATTGAAATTATTTATCTCCCTTTATTCCTTTCTGAAAAGAAACTAGCCTCATTATAACAATTCCTTCTATAAACTCTGAAACTTGAAACCAAAAGACTGAAAATCAGCACAGAATAAAGGCTGATCATGAGAAATTTACTGATAAATTGAAACTAGAAACCCTTGAGCGAACAAATTTTAATCAGTGAATAACTGAATGCAAAGACTTGCTCAGTTAACGGTAACTATGTTGTTTACATGGTGTGATTAAAAGGTGTCCTAAGTTGTTTGTCATCATTGCAAGTCTTTCATTCTTGCCACCAAAAAACATCATCTAATATCCGCGGTCTTTCAAACACTTGATAGAATAAAATGTTCATTTTGTAAGCATCAAACGAGCAACAAAATTTCACATAAACGATCAATACTGTACAGCTGATCCTTGTTGAATCATCAAAACTCTAAAAATCTGCAATTCATGCCTGAAGGGACAAGTCTTTAAATTCATAGTTTTACTGATTAATGAATAAAATACAAGATCATAGTTCAATCATCAAATCTCTAAAAATCTGAAATTCATGCATCATCATGAGAAAACGAAGTCTTAATATTCATCAAATGACGTTTTCTTTTTAAATAACAAATTACTTTTTCACAAACTTCTTAGAAACAACATCAGAGCTACACTGAAACTATCATCAGAATCAAGGAATGCACATATCACCTCATCATATGTTGTACCTAGAATGGAATTATATCAAACAATTTAGGGGTTATTTTTGAAAAAAAAAAAAATTTATTTTTCCCTTTTGAAAAGAAACAAGCCTCATTTTAACAATTCCTTCTAAAACACTTAAACTTAAAACCAAAAGAATGAAAATCAGCACAGAATAAAGGCTGATCATGAGAAAGTTACTGATAAACTGAAAACCAGAAACCCTACAGCAAACAAATTTTCATCTGTGAATGTAAAGACTTGCTCAGTTAACGGTAACTATGTTATTTACATGGTGTGATTAAAAGGTGTCCTAAGTTGTTTGTCATCACTGCAAGTCTTTCATTTTTGCCACCAAAAAACATTATCTAATATTACCGACTTTCAAACACTTGATGGAATAAAATGTACATTTTGTAAGCATCAAATAAGCAACAAATTTTCAAATTAACAAATAATACTGTACAGCAGAACTTTGTTCAATCTCTAAAAATCTGAAATTCATGCCTGACGGGATCCATAGTTTTAATGAATAATATACAAGATCATTCTTCGAATCTCTAAAAATCTGAAATTCATGCATGAGAAAAGGAAGTCTTAATATTCATTAAATGTTGTTTTTCTCCTCAAAAATAACTGATTATTATTTCACCAACTTCTTAGGAACAACATCAGAGCTACACTGAAACAATCACTGTTCATCAAGAAATTACACATAAAAACTCATCATATGTTGTTAACAAACTTATACAGGGCATTAAAAACTTCATGCAAGATCAAAAGCATCTGTTTCTATTTATAATTTTTCTAAAATAATTTTTAAATTTTCATGATGGAACAAATCAAAACTGTGATGGAAGTAATAAATATTTCCTCTTTATGAAGCTAGTCCTACGGACTTAGTGGTGTACCCTCTTAATATGAATTTTAACCATTAGCCTGCTGCCCTCAACAGATCACACCTAATCTTAAGAACAGATTGCGCATATTCATCACCTTAGTACAGCATAGGGTTAATTCCATGATATCTCTTCTTTATGAATAATTAAATAAAAGTAAACCCATTAGTGCATTAAGATGACAATTTGTGCCATCTGATCAATGTCAACACTGTTTGATATACAGTAATTACTTATTTTGCAATTTTCCATAAGACGAGAAATGGTTTCGTCCATTTAGCTTAGAAAAGGTTCAATTTTCCTTTCAATAACTTTTAACAAAGGACTTGCTCAGTTAACGGTAACTATGTTGTTTACATGGTGTGATTAAAAGGTGTCCTAAGTTGTTTGTCATCATTGCAAGTCCTTCACTGTTAAAAGCATATTAACATTGAACATCAGCACAAATTACGTATGCCACAGTCTTATTTAGCTCATAATCTTTTCAAATGTCAGATAATAGTTGTCACAAGAATTCTTGTTGCGGTTAACTTCTCAGAAGAAAAGATCTGAGAAGGCAAACGCAAGTTAACTTGCAAGTCTGTGTACTTTCCCAACTTTCCTATACAAAAATGACAGAACTTGATTCAATTACTACATTTCCTGCCAACATAATCAAATATCCTAGATATTTTAAAACTTGCTCAGTTAACGGTAACTATGTTGTTTACATGGTGTGATTAAAAGGTGTCCTAAGTTGTTTGTCATCATTGCAAGTTTTGTTCATATTTTTTTTTAAATTATTATTAAATTATATATGTGAACGCATACAAACAAAATATCATTATATTTGACTATGCTTGTTTTGCTAATCTTTAAACCACAAGGATCATATGGTTGAAATACAACAACCATCAAGTATTTGGAAATTTTGTTTTGATTTTGTCAATTTGCCACAAAAAAGCGTCATTTATTGAGCTTGTATCCCTCAGACAAGTAGCAAGTGCAGTTATCTTTCTTTAAACAGAAGGTTGTGCCTGCAGTAGTACTTGTTTTGTTTCAATAAAATTTCTTACTAGCACTTATAGAAGACCCAAAAAAATATTAACAATTTCAAGACTTGCTCAGTTAACGGTAACTATGTTGTTTACATGGTGTGATTAAAAGGTGTCCTAAGTTGTTTGTCATCATTGCAAGTCTTGAGAAACTTAGTCAACAATCTTATTAAACATTATCTTGTATTCTTTAGAAATTACAGAAATTGTGATGTACAAGTCATGCACAATTAGATCTAGCCTGGGTCCCTATTTAAGAATCAGGCCATTTTTCCCTATGTTTATAATATTCAAAGTTAAGTGAACATGAATTTGTTGCTTAAACATAAAATTTATAAGGACAGGCAAGTTTTCATTTTGTGACGAACGTTCCAAAATCTGGCAACCCTTTTCTGTAAACTTATAATATTTCAAAGTTAAGTGAACATAAATTTTGTTGCTTCAACATCAAATTTAAAGGACAAGGCAAGTTTTCATTATTTCATGATGAATGTCCCAGCCAATCAACTTTTCGCAAACCTACCTAAAACACGGCCAGTAGCAAACTGGTCCTCAAGGGCCTGCTCTACTTGTTTAGATTTTTGTCTCTCCTCGTATTTCTTCATTGTTTTCTTTGACCTGGTTTTGTTTAGGTTGGCCTCTTCCTGTTCTGTCTGGAAATATATTGGTTAGGATAATAATACAAATTAACACAAAAGCAACTTACTTTTCATGGCAATTCTGAACTGGTCCCTTTTTCAGTTTAGTACCTTTTCTAAAATATTCTCTGAAAAAATGATTGTTTTGTCCAAATTAAAAGTCCAATAGTTTGCATGGTAAAACTGAACCTATCAGCAGACCAGGCAACATTACAATGGTATTCATTATCTGATCCACCAGGGCCGGCAAAATCTAATCTTGACTAACTTGTGCATTTTTATCTAAAGCATTTCACAACTTGTCCGTATGATATTTATACAGTAAATTCTTAAAAATTGTTAACAGTAAAGGCTGTGGGAAAACCTGAGCAATATGGACAATAGATTTTGCCGCCCCTGGTGCATGTATCTTATTTTCCTATCTGTTGTTACAGACGTTATACCAAGACAATTGGCTGGAAAATACCAACTGTCCAACGATGCCTATCTGTATTTTATATTGCATTTATGAACGACCCTGCATAGCAACATCACTATGCCTGGAGATACGAAAATGCTTCTCTAACAAACTGCACAAAACTTTACCTCAAGACTTAATAGCTACAGTCCCTCAGTTAATTACACTTTTATAGATAAATTGTGAAATTCTGTCATCTTGGAGGCTACAGGAGTATAATCAAGTCCAGCAATGTTTGTTTGAAAATTTACTGCATGTATAAAACGAAATTAATGATTCTTACAACACTCTTAAGAAATATTATATATATATATTTACATCATTCAAAAATTGATCATCATTAAAGCTGCATTTATTTTATTGCACAAATTGTTACAGACATTTTACCAAGACAATCAACTTGATATGTTGATAATCTAACGATGCTTATCTGTCCTTAATATTGCATTTATGAACGACCCTACAAAGTTACAAAACTTCGTCTGGAGATACGAAAATGCCTCAAAACCATAGTCCGCAACAGAAGCTATTCGGTAATTTTTTTTTTCAATATTGCCATTGGGACAAATCTTATTTTGACAGCAAATACACAGTAGAACTTTGGTGAGTCACAGTTGAAGTTACTTGTGTAAAAGCTTCAACACATCCAGGCTTTAACGCATGAATCTGTCTCGAGTTAATGACAAAATTTCGAGCCGTCAACGTTTACAAGCAAGTTACAAAAGGTGTAACAAAAGAAATGGGAGATAACTAAATCACCTTAAAGTAAATGTATCCCATGTGTTTATCACACAACACAGGGGTCACTGTAATTAATCTATCCCCTAACATTACTGTTCTTCTATTAAACTAGAATTAAAGATGATGTCACAGACATTTTACCAAGACAACCAACTTGACATGTTGATAATCTAACGATGCTTATCTGTCCTTAATATTGCATTTATGAACGACCCTACAAAGTTACAGAACTTCGTCTGGAGATACGAAATGCCTCAAAAACTTTTTCCAAACATTTATCTCTAAAGTTTAATCATCTTACAATGTTAATATGTTCTAAAATTTAATGTAGAAAAAATATTTTACAGTATTCAGAGGTACGAGTATATTATTCAAACTGTTTTAGATTAATGTTGGCATCAACATTAATTCTTCAGTCGAAAGATGGTTAATGAACACATCATCTGCCAACCAGTCAGTAATTTGTCACATTATATTATAAATTTTTCCTGAAAAACGTGCACTTTTCCCAAAAATCTGAAGTTACACCAGCTTTTTACTTCCCAAACTAGTAATTTAAGAGCTAATCTTTCCCACAATCAAGAGGCTAAGGCCTCTTTCCAAATAAAGTAAAGAACGAACGAAATTATATTTTTCTATAAATTTACAACAGTATTTTTTCTTTTACCTTTTGGGAGGGGGGGGGGGGGGGGGGGGGGGGGGGGGGGGGGGGGGGGGTTTCTCCAATATTGCCACAGGGACAAATCTCATTTTGACAGCCAATATACAGTAGAACTTTGGTGAGTCTCAGACGCAGGTACTTGCTAAAAAGCTTCGACACATTCAGGCTTTGACGCATGAATCTGTCTCAATGACAAAATTTCGACCCGTCAATGTTAACAAGCAAGTTACAAAAGGTGTAACAAAAGGAATGGGCGATAACTAAATCAACTTATAGTAACTGTATCCCGTGTGTTTATCACACAACACAGGGGTCACTGTAATTAATCTATCCCCTAACATTACTGTTCTTCTATTAAACTAGAATTAAAGATGATGTCACAGACATTTTACCAAGACAACCAACTTGACATGTTGATAATCTAACGATGCTTATCTGTCCTTAATATTGCATTTATGAACGACCCTACAAAGTTACAGAACTTCGTCTGGAGATACGAAAATGCCTCAAAAACTTTAACCAAACATTTATCTCTTACAATGTTAATATGTTCTAAAATTTAATGCAGAAAATAACTTGACAGTAAGGTACGAGTATATCATTCAAACTATTTTAGATTAATGTTGGCATCAGGCAAAAATCATCGACATTAATTCTTCAGTCGAAAGATGGTTAATGAACACATCATCTGCCAACCAGTCAGTAATTTTTCACATTTATAATGAATTTTTCCTGAACATGCACTTTTTCCAACAATCTTAACTTACACCAGCTTTTCACTTCCCAAACTAGTAATTTAAGAGCTAATCTTTCCCAAAATCAAGAGGCTAAGGCCTCTTTCCAAATAAAGTAATGAAAGTGACCGTGAAAGTGACTGTGAAAGTGACTAAAAGTATGTTTTCTATATATTTACAACAGTGCTTTTTAGCTTTTAGGACACCGGTGTGTGTGTGGTGTGGGGTGGGGGGTGGTAAAAAGATGATATTCAGAAATTGTGAAATACAACTATTTTTTTCAAACTATGTCGTCTTTCCTGCCTAACTTTTGTGATTTTCTTCTTTTTCAGAAATATGGGGGGAAATATATACTTTCAAAGAGGGGGGGGGGATTGGCCCTTAAAATAGCATTTAATGGAGATTTCAACTTGCACAAAACTGATTTTAAAAAGACTGATAATTTAGGACAACAAGCTATCAAAGTGCTACTATTCAGACAGATCATATGTTACTCATAACACGGTTACATCATTCTTGACACAGTTTTAAAATGAACATGCTGCTTTGTTGAGAGACTTGCTCAGCTTGTATGATAGAAGTTGTTTACATGTTGTGATTAATACGTCACCTGGTGGTTTTCATCATTGCAAGTCTATGTGTAGTTTAACAGGGCCTTTTTTCACAGTTTGGGGAAGCAGCCCAGCCCTTAATTTTGGGGAAAAATTACACAGTATATTTGTAAAAGGGGAAGAAAAAACTTGATGTAAATTAAATTTTTGGGGAAAACTGCATGATTTTAAAGAAATTTTCTTTGGGGAAGCAGCCCTATACCGGCCCCTGTTATAGAAGGTAAAAAGGCCCGGAGTTAACCTTCAATTTCAATACTTGTCAGCAAGGAACAAATCCATGAATAGCTGCTTCAGTTTAAGGTGATTCCGCTTTGTCAGCCATGTTTGTTTTCACAAAGTCTGTCCAAAGTGAAAGTAGGCCAAAATTCATATAACAACACAGCTCTTATTTTAAAATGATGAACCATTTGAAAGTACACTTCCAGGTTTATATTTTAAGGACAATTATAAACAAAAATAAAAATGATAACAACAAGAATATTTACCTTGAACACATTTCTGAAGACCAAAAACATTCAGTTGCAAAGTTTTATGCACATTTCATGAATGGCAAAATCCTTTTTTAAGTCTGTTTTAGTGCCTACAAAAGCTATTTTTTGCAGCAAATACAAAAATCTTTCAAAACTTAACTCCAAATAAATCCATATCTCATGTCCTTCTAAGCACATGGCCTCCATTATTTTTTGTAAAAAAGTAGTGCAAGAAAACAATCATCATTTATAGCCTTATGAACTACAATTAAAATGAAAATACAATCAAACTTTTAAAATCTAACCTTTTTTATGTGTAACAGTGAAGTGTGTCTGTTTGTCATGTACACAAGAGATAGATAAATGATGTTTATTTTCATGGTACTACTTTTTTACACATGTCCTGGTGGCCATGTTTTTTCAAGGTCAGATAAACTACTTTCCTAAGGTTTATATTTTTTAAAGTTTTTTGTATTTTCTGCAAAAAGTAGCTTTTGTAGGCACTAAAACAGACTTTAAAAAGGATTTTGCCATTCATGAAATGTGCATAAAACTTTGCAACAGAATGTTTTTGGTCTTCAGAAATGTAGCACATTCAAGGTAATTTTTCTCATTTTAGGAACCAATCTTATTAGTTTTACTTTTTGAGAAATTGGGGAAATAGAAAGAGAGCATATTCGTGTTTCTTATGAGGCTATCACTCAATGCTGATCAATAAGCAGCCAAAATCTCCTGCCAATGTAGATTTCATATCGGACAGACAGAGCCTATTTCTAAATCCCCCATTTTTTCTTCAATTTTGTTACTGGGCATGCCATTGCTCCTTTGTACTTCCATCCAAACTGAACATGTCATGTGCAATGAAGTCAATACAGTGTAACTTACCAATTTAATATTCTTTTTACGACCAAGAGGAGCAGCATAGTGGGCCTCGTACCATTGTCTGAATGGGGTGGCATCAATCTGTACAATAGCACTTTTCACAAGTGTCTTAGTTCTCACCAATTCATTGTTACTGGCATTGTATACAGTATCGATGATCCTAGTCTTTCTGGAAATTGCTGGAACAAAAATATGTTTTACAGCGCAGGAACACAATAGGTCATATGGCGCCGAAACAGGAAAGATGATTTTGGCTCACCTTGTATAACTTAACCCAACACCAGGGGTCAAAGCACCTCAACTGCTGGAGCAAAAATAAATGAGCGACTGATCATAAGGTTGTAAACAATAAAGATGACATTGTCAAATATATTACACGGTGAATATATTTACTTAGAGACTGTTTTATCATTTGAAAAGCAACGCTAGATAAATGTCATTAAGTAACGTTATAAGACTTGCTCAGTTTACGGTAACTATGTTGTTTACATGGTGTGATTAAAAGGTGTCCTAAGTTGTTTGTCATCATTGCAAGTCAAAACAATGTTTTCTCCATTTTTATAACTTTAAAGTCTACACAACTACCTTTCTTATCAATTAGATTTTTAAGTTAAATTTGGAAAAACACACTTTTGATAATTCAAACAGAGTAAAATACTGATTTTTTCATCCACTTCCTTTATTTTTCACTATAAAAGGCACTGTTTGGCATGCAACAATACAGTTTGCTGTTGCACAATGCAGTTAGACTCCTAAAATGACTTTTTTGTTCCTTGCATTAATATAGACGGACTTGTTCTTGCAATTTGGAAAAGCAATACTTTTTTGGATTGGGTACTTTGTCCAATGTCTAAACAGGCAAAAATACCAAAGTTAAAATATAAAGAGAATGCAAAATAATTCTGAAGCTATACCTTCTGAACCCCATGAAAAGTTTCCTGTATCGAGACGAAGTGCCCTGTATTTCTTGTTACCACCACGGGTTCTGATAGTGTGAATACGCTTGGGACCAAGCTGCAAATATGTTGATTGAAAGACTAGTAATAAACCAGCAGTTTGACAGCAAAAAGAAATACAGACTTGGTAACAACACATCAAGTAGATCGTAGAAAGGCTTCAGATAGAGTATTTTAAATCACAGAATTTCATGCGAAAGATGGTGTTTAAACAATTCATCATAAACCTTTCTTGTAAGTTGTCTAAACCAGGGGTAAAATATAAGTGATCTTTAGCATTCTTACGCAATTTTTAATCTTAAAACATACAGCAGGGTCTAATTATAAAGTCAAAAAACACAAGACTAAGTACTCAAATCCCAATAGTTAGGAAAACTACATGCATTAAATAAAAAATACTTAAGATTTTAATCTGTGAAACTTATGTAAAACCATGAATACTTACACTACTTACTGAAAGACAGATGTTGCCACTAAATAGCTAAAACCAGTCATTGTTGCTTACATATTATATCATCATGCAGGGTTGTCTTTAAGAGGCGGCAGGAGGCCAAAATGCTAGTTCTGGCTTCCAAAACTTTATAAGCCGCTTTTTAACATTTTTGTTTTTCATCAGATGCGGCATTAAAGTTTTGGATTAGACCCGTTACGAAACCTAACCAGAATAACATAAGTTGATTTATTCTTGTTTTTCACTTGCAAATACACTTGACCCGATCAATTCTTGTGCATTTTACGGTAAAACAATTATTTAAATATCGTTCTATACCAATTCAAGTAATAAAATATTAATACCGTCATTAAAATTGCCTATTTAACTGTAAAACATCAATTTTCGCCGACTACAGTCGGCCATGACATTCAAGTGCCACGCGAGACCTCGTATGACGTCATTCGCGGGAACAGATTTGAATAGAGTTGTGTACTATATTTAGAACATTTTGTTGACATGATTTCGATATTTTTATTCAAGATAATGTTTTTATTTATTTTCATAAATTTTTGAGTATTTAAATATGATTTTATTGAATATAACAGTCAGTAAATAACCTTTTTCAACATCTTAAAAAAAAGTAATCTATAAAAATATTGGAGGCACATGGGTTCATAAAGGTCAATCTCGTAATCACGTGGTCAAACATTTTGGCAATATGGCGGCCAAGTGCCGAAATTTTTACCTGTCGGAAACTATTAGGTAGTTTATGTTCCTAATAAGATTTTTATTTGTCCATCCTTGGCTTATCAACAGATTATATATCGTTTTATCAAGGTATGCTTCACTTTACTTCGTGGCATGTTCGATAAATAAATACGAGCGTGTCAGATTCCTGGCACGATTATTGGTGGACTTTCCCTACGGGGTTATCTTCAGCGTTCACGTCATGTCATATATATAAACGGGTACGCTGAAGACCTTAAGCTACCAAAATGCCTGTCTCAAATGCATTATGGGCCGCCTCAAAATTAAGAAAACACTCTTTGTTATGCATGATAAAGACAGAAATGACCGCCTCAAGTTCAAAACAAACCTTCTGCAAAAAATGTTAATGACAACCCTAATCATGACAAAACCCGAAAATGCTGAATTTACCTTAATTTTACTTTCAATAGTTAAAAATAGTCAATAGTTTGGCCCAGAAACATTTGTATTTAGGAGTATTAGAAAAATCCTGAAATTCAGACACAGGCCTGAAAACTTGTACCCATGTGCATTTATGACAAATTCACCGATAATTTACCTTTGTTTGTGCTGGTGGACGACCAAGTTCAAATTTCCTCTTCTTTCGAAGTTGGTTCATGCGACCACCGGTCGACCTACGCTTATGCCACTTATCACGGGAGATACCTAAAATCAAAATGAAAGACCGTTTTAGTGTTTGATCACAACTTTTAGCATGGATAGTGTTTGTCAACTAATCAGGTCTGGTGTTCAAATTCCAGTCAGTGTCAGACGATAATTCATGTTTACAATTGAAAAACTTTTAATGATAAATGTGTGGTCTTAAAGAACTGACAATCAGAGCGTGGTGATTCTGATCTTCAATAAGAATTTATAAACGACTGGCATTTCTGAAGGCACGACATCGATAAATTTGCAATATAATTTTTCACTCAATAGATTTTCAAGCCTATTAGACATATCCACGCGCCGCATCAACTTAATGTAAGTTTAAATATATTTCACACCATTAACATGCGGTCAATTTGATAAATTTACTCTAAGTCAAAATAAAAACAATTCAGCTAAGTGTCCGATTAAACGTTGGAATTACCTCCATCCCTGCAATATTTATGGCTTAATTACATTGACAAATGATAGATATATCATTGTAGTTTATTTCAAACCCATCAAATACTACCAATACTTCAAATATACAAAGATGACATTCGATTTTCTAAACGCACTAGCTAACAATCAACCTACCCATGTTGGCTTGTTTAATGGAAAGGACAAATCACGTACTTTCTCGTTCAGACTACTTCCGGTAATATACATTCGCCCCACTAATTATTCGTCTCGTCACGATTCGCCCATGTTACGAAACGATTGGCCTCCAGTAAGCGACTGTTACCTCTCTTCTATGTCAAACTTGTTTTAAAATCATTTGATTAAAAAATTATTAATATTTATGGTCTATATAAGGGTTTATGTTTTATTTATATTTGTGAAAAGACTGTATTGTGTATTACCACGGACTTTATTTTGGTTTTACGTGTATATATTATATGAACATATTAACAAAAAAAGCTATATAGTTCGTTTAAACATAAGTTTTATATGAAAAGTTTCAAGAAAATAATAGATCTACATTTATAAAACCAGATAATAAAAGTTGTTTATTTTTAATATAAAATTAATCAAAAGGATTAAATTTTCTACACGGTAAGTGCATGTTCATGAAAATACTGTCATATAACCACGGACTTTTCAATTAGAGTCCGTGATATCGAAAATTGGTGGCGATTTTATGTTTCATATCAATTGATATGTGTAATATTATTTTCTAAAGGAAAAGAAATTTATGTATTTTCATTGCATACAGGAAGAAGAAGAGAAGAAATAGTTTATTTCGGTAACTTATACATTTACAGTATCTCGTTACATACAATAATAACAAATAAAATAATTCTGTGGTCACATGACAAAAGCAAAGAAAAAAAATAAGAAGAAGAACATAAAAAAGTTTTAACTGATGACATTCTAGAAAATTTGTTTCAGACATCTGCAAATAAAGGAACAAAGAACATCACAACATCATTATCCTTCATAGAAATAAAAAAAGTTCCAGTAAGAAGAAAAACACCAAAAACAAAAAAGACGTGAAAATAACAGCGTCAAAAGTATAGTATTATAATAAGGATAATAAGTTGAACCAATTAACATTCCAAAATGTGTTATGAATTAACAACTGGTATTAACAATTCTTGTCGCTTTTTATTTGCTACATCTATATATTTTCCTAAATTTACAAGTACATAGTGTATAGCTTTATTATCTGATTGTAGTAAATCTACTAATTTATACATAGAAGGTCTAATATAGTAATAACGCTTGATAAATCTTCTACAGGTCGTGAAGTTTTTTCCAGCAAAGTATACATTTAAAATGACAGTTACTGAACACATACTGAACATTTGATTTAAACACTTTTTTCCTCATGGACTTTAATGCAAAAAGGTAAGACATTATGGAAAGCCACGTTTAAAATTATTGTTATTTGTTCTTAAAAGTTTAATTATTTACAAGCAAAAATACAGGCATTTTAATTAAAATACAAGTTAGAAATATATACACCGAAAATAAATAAACTGTTTGTAATTTATACAAGATGTCTTCCTTCTCTATCTATACTATACATTTGTTTATCTTTCACAACTCACATTCACCAATATTTCATATTAACTGTATCTCCATTAAGAAATGTTGAATCCTTCATACATATAGTCAGATGTCCTGAGGTATGAAATGTTTGCAGCCAGGCCGAGACTTGAACTCGGGACCCTTGGAATGCCATCCCGCGGCAAATTGACACGACTTTTACTATTTGTATACATGGACTATAAAAATTGTGCGATTTGTCAACAATCTATATTGTACGATAACCCAAGAATAAAAAAAAAATACCAAGAAATTTCAGTGCCAACAGTTAAGTGATTGGTGAAGGTTGTTTTTGTTGTTATTTTTTTAATGCTTTTTTCCTTTCTGTTCGTTAGTATTTTTCCTTTCAGTGGGAGACTTTGGCGTAACTAATTGGTGATCTTATTGGGTCATATTCTGACCATTAGCAGAGACTTTTATTACATTATATAAAGCTTTATAGCATTCGATCTTGATGGAAAAAGAACAAAGAATTTCGAAAATGTGATCTTACAATTACAAACAAGAAATATATTTTTAAAGGTACTCTGTCGAAGTAAAACAGAACAAAAAGGCATATATTGTCATTTCTAAGTTTTTGAGAAATGTAGAAATGTTTGCAATGCTTGTATAACATATTAATGACATAATATTTCTTATACCTATGAAAAAAAACAACCAACAACAAACAAACAAAACAACAACAAAAACATTCTGTCAATATAGAAATTAAATTATAACCACACTGATATCGATGTCTCTTCAAAGAAGGACAACTTCTATATTTACGGTCTTTATTGCTTGTTTTATACGTTGCACTAAATATGAATTTTGTAATCATTATGCAATATTGACTAATTTAAACTCAAATGATTAATCATTTAGATTACATCAAATTGTTTATGAAGTTATTATATACTGATAAAACGTATTCTTCCGTTTTTGCCTTTTTGCCAACACAGACTGCGCATGTGCGAAATGCTACTTTCGTTTCTATGGAAATATCGGATTGTAAAAAGCTCTAGAGTCCAAATAATCGTACCAATGCCTCTTTTAATCTGAAACAGGAACCATACAGCAGATATGTAAAACATATACTGTAGAAACAATAATATCTTTCAGTATCTAATCGATGCTTTAATTGACAATCCAGTCATGTCATACAATTTAGCTATGTGTCTTTTAAGGTTTTTTTATAGCACCATTTAAAAAGCATTTAACCTTTAAAACAGTTTTAATTAGTGAATTGTTACGAGTTATACCTTTTTCTGACGGTTTCTGTGACCGGAATGAAACATGTGTGTCGACGCGTATTCAACACAGTGATTATTTATAAGCGTCATCTGAAAGTAGTCATTGAGTCGTGACCGCGATAGTAATCGTTGTATAAAAGCCGACTATTTGGCCAAGATTGTAAAACAAATATTTCGTTGACTGTTGATAGAGCTCTTCGGGATTTAAGTAACTTAACTAGAAAAAGGTAAGCACATTTTTCTCCCCTATTGGTCTCAAGGGATAAATATATATATTATTTTAGTAACTCATTAACTTTTTTCGTTCCAACTGTTTTTATTTGTTCGCAAAATATATATAGTAAACTTAAAATGGTTAATCAGATGTGTTTTAAATAAACATATTTGCGTAAAACATATTTTTACTAGTATGAAAAGCATAATTTAGCATGAATTACATAGTTAAGTATGAAAAATATAGTTTAGTATGAAAAATATTTTAGCCAGGAGGAATGTAGATTTTAAGATTGTGTTGACAATACAAATTATTTATAAAAATGAAATACAGAAATTTGTACATGCATGGTTGCAACAAATGGATAATTTTTAACGAATTAATTTCATGAAATTCCCGTGAAAAGTGTGTGCAATTTCGACTCAATTCAATTAAATTCATTTGGTTAGACATTCACGTTTTAATTATAACTGTAATTGGGTGATTAATATTTTACGTATATTAAACTGTTAAATTTTTTAAATAGGTATACATTGGCAAATAATCGAACAACTTCGATCGTGTGTGGGTGACAAGCTATAGTTTGTCTTGTTATTTGTCTTAAAGGGTTCAGAAGTTTGTTCTGTTAGAAATATTTATTAAAAATCAGTCACATTTTTGGCAGCAAGTTGTATTATAAACAAATACAGTTACCTGTTTACTATCTAATTTGGTGTGTATATGGTTATTGCAAACTTAAGAATAAAAAGCTGTACGAAATTGTTGATAGGGTTTCTTTTTCACCAAATTGAACGATCGAAAAAAAAAAGAATTCAATGAATGTTCGGATCGTTGTTTTAATTTTGACTTACGTAGACGTCTTCTGCATGTATACTAGAAAAAAATGTATATGTACATACGTATATACTTATTATCGTAGTTCGGTGTCATTCAAGTAAATCAGAACGTGAAACTCAAAACTACATGCATTTATAAAATATATTTTGACATAAGAAAATCAGCACCCCTTCAACAATTATTTACAAAATGATAATAATAAAGTAGTAATAAATAATTCTCATGTTGATATATAATATACATGTATACAAATGCGTAATTTACCTGGTGCTGTGGCCAAGAGGTTAAGTTTACTAAGTTCGAATTACTATAGGCCCCCTCGCCAAATCCCATACCACTGTCGCTGTCGAACGACAGAACGGCTACTCGAATTAACTTACGGGCACATTATGCCCTAAAAATTCATATCTTTAATTTCTTTAGAAAAGTCAAATTAAAAATCATGATAGATTTTCAGCAACTGAAGAAAGTAGCACTGAACGTACGGTAATATGTCGTAAAAGCAGCAAAGTGTAAACAAAGAAGTACTTTGACTTCCATTCACTATATAACTATACCAATTGCCAACAGAGCAAAAATAGCAGAAGCGAGTACGTGAATATGCCTAATAAGTACTATTTTTGGAAACTAACAAGATACAAAAATATATTTTTATCAATAAAATAAAAAGCATTTCTGACAGAGAAATGAGCAGTTGCTACCGTAAATATGTAAAACTGTTTTGTCCATGTGCTGATTATATATTTGTGTTGATATTGTTGCTGTTTTGTGTATTGAATTGAAGTTATAAAGTTAAAACACATATCGTCACCTTAGAACAATAATGGTTTAACTCCTATTAAAATTTGATAAGAGTTAACTTGTTTCTACACTAAGGGGGCGATTATAATGTTCGAATGGTCTTTATAAGTGGAAAATAAATAAGAAAAATAACAGGACCCGGACGGATAGCAATATTAAAACGGATGTACTTGAAATGTACATTTGACAGATCGATGTTAACAATCAGCAAGTAAACAAACTAACTGATCGATATTGTTAATAATATCATCATTCAGTCAGGTAAAAAATAGGACAAAATGACAAATTCCCAAGAGATTATTGTATAAATACGGTTAATAGAACCGTGTTCTGCTAACAAGTCCTATTTACCATAATGTTCTGCTTTAAAACAAGTACATCTGCGTGTAAACAAACATTAAATTTCTGTTTTTTTTTAACTGTACCTCTTTAAAGTTATTGAAAGCTCTCATACTGGGGAAAGGTAAACTCTTGTTTATTCAAGGTGAATAGAAAGCAGTGGCGCGTTATATTGACGCAAATTTGCCTCTTAATCAATTATGGATTAAGATCTCTTAAAATTTTGTGTAGTATACTGTATTTGACATATAAATGGGCTCACCTTCGGTACTCTCTTTCCCATCGGTCGGATGTTTCACTTGAAGTCACGTCAACTTAGCTATTTTAGTAAGGTTAAATAAATTAAGTTGTTGTACTGCACATTGATATATCTTTTAGTGTTTTTTTTTTGTAAGTGAGGTAAAAAGTTGGACTGTTATCAAGACCTTGGCAAGAAAGAGTCCAACTCCAAAAATCCCGAAATCAAGAAAATCAACTTTGAGAAAAATGAACTAAGCTTTAAAAATAAAAGTAAAAATATTCACAACTCAAGTAATAGTTTACATGTAATGTGCAATGAATAACTGATTTTGTAGTATATAATTATCACCATATATTTCTACTGCGTGACTCACGCAGTAATGGCTATTTTAGCATATTTTGACCTTCATTTGGGAATTTACTTGGATTGGACATGCTGTTAGCAATGTGTTAATATATCTGCTTTTTTGTTCACTTGACAATATTTTTTTAATACAATTTCATTCTTTTTATGAAAATCAGCTTGGATTTGGATGTGTACTGCTTTGATCGACAGAGTTAACTTCGTATTGTTAATTAAGAACATTGCAACCTTGACTTTAAAACTAAATTGTCGTCTTAATCCTCAAATTAGTCGATTTCAGATGAAAGATAATATTTTAAAGTATCTTAAATCTTTTTAAACAATCATACATTATGTGGTTTAAGAATGTTTTTCGCTCAGGCGTAAACTGTGACAAAACAGTATCCCAAATAAATTGTACAATGTATAAATTATACGTGTGTCTGTACATTTCAAAACAAATTTATTTGTCCTGTCACTATTAATAGAATGCATTCAAGAGGATAATAATGAGATGTATACATAGTCACGCGAATACTTTAACATTTTAAAATGTATTTCATGGTTAGTTAAAGTACCATTATAACCACGTGATCATTAGCAACCCGGGTATGATATTTGAGGATGGAATTTGAAAGTTTATACTATTATACTATTTTTATCTTTATCAAAGGAATGTTTGGTCGTTTGAATGGGAACAGTCAACCGCGTATTTCCAGTTTTTGTAAATAATGACGTTTAAATAAAGTTACTGGGTCATATCCGATGGGCGTGGTATCCTTCAATGATATTTTACATGTATATATGAATTACTTGTTTGGTCGAAATTTAATTCAAATCGGCACCATTGATTATGACATCAAAGAGCATAAGAGGAGATGAAACTGAATCATATTGAGAAACAAAACTGAAATAAAGCATATGGGCGTTTTATTTCGACCGCCACATGGTGTGTAATGTCTAAAGATTATGTATGCACCCCGCCCCCCGCCCCCGCACAATAATTATAAAAAAACAACAACAATAAAAAGGGAGGAAAACCCAACAGCAGCAACAACAAAAAAGGGAGGAAAAACCAACAGCACATAAGCATAAAAATGTCAGCAATACGAAAAGCGAAACTATCTTAGAGCCGTATGACCTCACTTTTGTAAAAATGTAAGTGCTTTTTGCCAAACATTATTCAGAAATGAGGTGTTATTCTATAAAAATAGTAAAATACTTCACCAATGACTTATCCTTTAAGGAAAAATTATTACGTAAGCAATGCTTTTATCATTTGAACCTTTGATAAAACTGTTTTGGAGATTGGCTATGAAGACCAAAGTCAATAAGGACATGGGAGGTTTCATTTTATCAAACAGGAAGTTGGCGGGTTTTTTGTGTGTATTGTATGGCTTAAAAATTATTATATGTAGTTTAAACATAGTTTGTAAATAATACTTGACGTAAATAATACTTGACTTTTTTATATTTATATAAATCTAACCAAGCACATTGTTTCGTGTTCTAAACTTCCTTAATAAACCTGATAGCATAAAAATACAAGTGCAATCTGACTAAAGTTAAGATGTCCGTTTGTGCACGCAAAATGTCTCCAGATTCTTGCTAATTTTCATAAAAAAATTAAAAATGTATTTAAAGGTGAAATATCAGGTAAAAGAAGGAAGTAATTTACACACTGCGAACGGCACATAAGATCTATGAAAATTACCAAAAAATAGGTCAGAATATGCAAAAATAGCCATTACTGCGTTAGTCACGCTTTAGAAATATGTTGATAAATACATTTACTGCAAAATCAGTCATTAATTGCATGGTGGGATGCTAGTTGATTTAATGCCAGATTTCATGCGAATTTGTTTTTAAGCAGGACTTTTTCATTTCTTTTTGAATATAACTTGATGTCTTCACAAAAATTATCAATTCACTGATGTTGAATTTAACTTAAAATATTTTAAATTAACAATAATTTTTATAAAGTATAATAAAAGGCATATTATGATTAAGAAACAAATACATTTGACTTCTCTTTAAATAGCGGAAATGAGTTTAAAAAAGTTAAAATAATGGTTTAAGAGCATGTTAAATGCTTGTTACCTGAAGAAAGTAGGGCTAAATTTGAAATAATTTATCATAAAAGAAGCAAAGTGTAAACAAAATAGTATTTTGAACTTCAATAAAAAATATTTAATCGCTATTTATTACTTCTTGCTAAAAAGCAACAGAAGCAAAATATTGTTAAGGTAATTGGGATATGAGTTACTTTTTGAGAACTTTAGCAGTAAATAGAATATAAAAAAGCTTTTTAGAAATAAAAGTAAATTATTTTTGGTACATAAGCTTAAAATTAATATGACCTTTATGTTGAATTCTTCGGAAAAATGTTCATATATGTTGAAATTTTTGTGTACTCTATGGTTGAATAATTCTTTTTCATATATTGATTTTAT